CGTACATATATTATGTAAACAAAACACTTTTATTTTGGATGCGATTAATCCGCTAAAGTTTTTAGTTGTTGTTTTATTTTTGTACACCAAAACAGTCCTGCAGCTTGACAATTTTTTTTAAAATACAAAATACTCCAAATATTGTAGTCACTCTATTGATATAAAGTCATAAAAACAGCATGCATAATAATTATTAGAAAAATGGTGCTTAACTTTATAATAAAGAAATAATACTAAATGTACAATAAAAATGCCACACTGCAGAGCATTTATTATGTCATTTCAATTAAATAAGTACTAGCATTTTCTCAGCAAACAGCATGTGGCTTTTAGATCAAATATTGATTTTAGATACATCATGTTTTTCAAACCTGAAGCAAGTGTCAGTCTCAAAAATAATAATAAAATATAAAAATTTAATATAAAAACTGCATGTGTAATAATAATTAGAAAAAGTATTACTTTTAAATAATAAAAAATAGACTTATATTAAATGAATGTCACTGCAGAACTTCTATTTTTATTCAAATGCTTTTATTTTATTAAAATTATATTTCTATTCTAATCTTCTAAAAATAGAATTTTCTAGAATTGGGGGGGGGTTAATTCTATTTTATTAATATGTCGATAACATCGTTTTATTAATATGGCTTTTAGGTACATCATGTTTTTAAAACTGAAGCAAATGTCAGTCTCAATATAAAACTAATAATAAAATATAAAAACCTAATATAAAAACTGATAATAATAATACAAATATGTATATTAAATTAATGTCACTGCAGAACTTCTATTTTTATTTAAATGCTTATATTTTATTAAAATTATATTTCTATTCTAAACTTCTAAAATAGAATTTTCTAGAATTTGAAAAAGACTAATAATACCAATTTAAATTCTATTTTATTAATATGTCCAAAACAGTGTTTTATTAATATGCTTTTAGATCAAATATGGCTTTTCGGTACATCGTGTTTTTAAAACTGAAGCAAGTTTATATTGTATAGGTTGTATTTTATATATATTTAAACTGTATTTATCTGTATGCACCAAGGGTCTGAGAGTAACACAATTCTAGAATCTAATTCTAATTCTAGAATCTAAAATTCTAGAATTTTCTAGAATTAAAAAATTACTATTTCTTAATTAATAAAATTAAAATTCTATTTTATTAAAATGCCCAAAAAATATAACCAATGCAGTCTTGCTGACTGAAGAGTGTGTGAGCTTACCTTGGAGGTAGTGCTGAATATCGATCCATCAATGTTCTCACAGATCTCTTGAAGCAGTTTACTTTCCACTTCTAGAACACAGAGACAAAAACATGCATTTAATTAATGTGATCCTGTAGCTTAGGCAGGTCAAAGTCATGGGTTTGCTGTATGTTGGTAAAAAAATTAATAAATCATTAAGCCATTTAACTTTAAACTGTTGCTTCATACCAGTCATAATCCATAATAACGCTTCACACAATGAAAAAGTCAATCCCCCGTTGTCCTCTCACATCAAAATCCACACACATGTTTAGAGATGTTTTAGACTGTTTTCACTTGTAAACCGTGCTTGATGTGTGCAGATTTCTCTCCTGATTCAGACAAGACACCTTTTTCAGTGGAGAAAGCAATATTATGGATAGAGGACTGGTATTTTAGCCAGAAGCAGTGGTTGAAGTTAAAAACGTCTGTGGATTTGTTTCTCACAAACATGCAGCCTTTTTTTAGACAAAGGAATCAAATTTAGCAAAAATATGTGCGATTTGAATACTTACCACAAATAGATCGGATTAAGCTGATTATTTCATCTCTCTGCAAAATACATAAAAATCTCGTTATTGAAGCGCTCCCTTTCTGTTTCACACTAGCTAGTAGTAGTAGTGTTATTGTAGTACTTATTTAATGTTCATTTATAGAATTAGCTTTTAATTTTTATATTTTAAGTTTTCATTTTGATTTTAATTTTAGTTTGAGTAATTTTGTTATTTGCTTAATAAGCTTTAATCTACTATTACTTTACTAATTTTAGTACATAACCTTGTTTGAGCAACATTTCTTATTTTCATTTTTTTATTTTCATTTTTTCAATAAAATAGTTTTTTTAAATTTTTTAAAGTATTTTGTATTATTTCAGCTTTACTT